CCTCTCTCCTCCCTCTTTCTCTTCCCTTCCCTCTCTGTGTCAGCACTTTTAGCCGAGTGCTTCCAAACATTTTCTGCCGAGCAAACAACAAACCGGCGCTGTCTCACCTGACTCACCCCAATACACACACAGTATTTGCCTCTGTACCTCCGGTGGTTTTTCCACTTTTGATCCCTCCATCCTAATTTGCTCTCTTTTCCTAAGCCACTGATTTAGAAGGTGGGGGAGTTTTTACCCTCCAGCTGCTCGATTTCATGGAGGTTAGTCAGTTTTTAAACAGTTGTAGGGTGTGTGTGTGAGTGTGAACCTGTACTGTATTTCATCTATCCCATTTCTCCTTTTTGACCCCACAACTTTGCTGAAAAGAGAGAAAATGATGGTGATTTGAAGGTGTTCCACCCACAGCACCATCTGTCAGGGATGACTGACAGGAGAGGGGGACAGAATTACACCTGCTGTCTGTGCATCACAGTGGACTCTCCTCATCTCAGAAAGTCAGATGCTTAATTACTGTGTTTAACCTGACAGGGAATGGATGATGGAGGGAGGAGGGGGAGTCAAATGGAGAGGCAGAAGAGAGAAAACTGTGACTTTATACTTCAATTTAATACTAGTGTTACCAGGAAACAAGACATTGGTGATTAATGCGGTCAAGTGGAAGTTGACAGTGTACACTTTTTAAAAGAAACGCCTGGTGATATTCTATATTTTTCTTACATCCCATTGAAGACCTGCCTCATACAGGTTTAGTTGCTGTCCTTCTTACCCCCTCATGCTGCTGTCACAAATACTCACTAGAGTACCAAATGTGGATTAATCCGCCATTGTACTGGAATGCATTGTAGTCAATGGTGTTCCTAATATTCTGAACTCCTCATGAATGTGAACGGGGAGGACACCACTGAGTATAATCCGGTCCAGTAAAACTCCACCTTTTCAATGGATTTGCTGACAATAAGAAAATACAGTCTTCTCCTTCAAAGGACAGTGTTCACCTCTAAAAGCAATTAACTCTATCAGACCTTTATTAGGTTTAATATTTTATTTACTAAATTATCTTTAGAAGTCAGGTTTAGTTGCTGTCCTTCTTCTCCCTCTATCCATCTTTCTGTCTTTCTCTTTATTTCTTTACCCCAGTGATTTATTATTTCACTTTCATGGCACTGGGGGACTGAAAAAACAAGGTGGAAAGAATGATTGACTGACTTTTAGATCCAGAGCTGAGCCCACCTCCTGTAAAATCCATGACCCCGCAGGCTTTTTGATTAAAACACAAATTTGTCTCAGGACTAAGCCACGAAAACCCTGATGGCTTCAACATATGGGCACAACTCTCAGGCAAAAATAAAACTGACAAATACTGAGGTTGACTTTTGGGTTTAATATGGTTGTGATACGGTCCTGGGAGTTCACCAGTAAGTGCAGTGGATTAGCCTGTAACATACAAATGATTTAAAGGAAACTAAACATCTCCTTCCTCTGCTCCACTGTGTTATTTTCACTTAGGAGGAACTGTTGTTTTAAATTTAGCAGTGTTAATTACACTGTTAACAAGATGGAGGGAGGTGGGAGCTGCTTTGTCTGTTAAAGCTCCATATCAGTAGTTTGTAGTCATGTGCAAGTGAGCACGTCTCATGTCATAATAGTCTCATCATCGTACCGACTTCCTCGTGTTTGCCTCCTCTCTTCTTTGGTTGTTTGGTGACACAGAAATGTGAAACTTCTGTCACAAAGTATTTGCATATAAAACAAAATGCTTAAGAACTGTAGCACCTACAGCGATGATGAATACAAGTCAGTGGGGGGTTGACAGTGTTGCATCATGAATCCACGATAACCATCTTTATTACCGCCATGAAGGGCCATCAGGCAGCTGTCAGTGAATACTGTAAGCATCGATGTTACAGGTGCTGCATAGCAACTTGTTATTAGAGCTGGATATTGATACTGATCAGTTAAATACCAGGTGCATAAAGAGCTCAGACTCGTGGGAAATAAAATTTTTCGACATTGAACAAGTGAGGAACACTGTTTTCTTGACTATAGAATTATGTGAAGTTCACATTATAGACTAAATTGTAAACACACATTGGTTCTATTGCTGCGGACCAAGGATTTATTTTCCTTGTCAAATACAAACCCACTAAAACATGACATCTATATTTTAGGTACATGTGCCAAACAGGATTAATAAAAACCCTGTGCTTGTAACAAGGGTGTCGTCATTACACATAACTGAAAAAATAAATGGTTTCCCATATGGATGCTCCAGACGTCCACTTTATTGATCAGTATGAGCACAGATGTGACAAACTGGAAGTCTGTTCACTGATTCATCTGTGGTGACATCAGCCTGATAACTGTAGACAGCGGCTAGCTGGTGTTAGCTCCCAAGAGGAACAGACTGAATAAAGTCAGCAGCATAACATAACTGTAATGGACCCCAGAGCAGTTTTTTTCCATGCCCCACCCCTGTCCCAAATACACATGCATGCTCCTGCTCACACGCATGCACGGACACACACACACAAACCCCTCCAGTCAATTGCATGGACCACTGACCAGCAGATCAGACATTCAAAATATTCATCCAGTCTAACTACACTAACAAATCAGCACAAAGGTTGTTTACACTGTATCTAAGCATAGAACAAACAGCCATCAAGAAAAGCACAGCAACTAACTATAGATCTACACGGTATGAGATTAGAATTTAATATAAACAGTGCCTTGCGAAAGTATTCGGCCCCCTTGAACTTTGCGACCTTTTGCCACATTTCAGGCTTCAAACATAAAGATATAAAACTGTAATTTTTTGTGAAGAATCAACAACAAGTGGGACACAATCATGAAGTGGAACGAAATTTATTGGATATTTCAAACTTTTTTAACAAATAAAAAACTGAAAAATTGGGCGTGCAAAATTATTCAGCCCCCTTAAGTTAATACTTTGTAGCGCCACCTTTTGCTGCGATTACAGCTGTAAGTCGCTTGGGGTATGTCTATCAGTTTTGCACATCGAGAGACTGAAATTTTTGCCCATTCCTCCTTGCAAAACAGCTTGAGCTCAGTGAGGTTGGATGGAGAGCGTTTGTGAACAGCAGTTTTCAGTTCTTTCCACAGATTCTTGATTGGATTCAGGTCTGGACTTTGACTTGGCCATTCTAACACCTGGATATGTTTATTTGTGAACCATTCCATTGTAGATTTTGCTTTATGTTTTGGATCATTGTCTTGTTGGAAGACAAATCTCCGTCCCAGTCTCAGGTCTTTTGCAGACTCCATCAGGTTTCCTTCCAGAATGGTCCTGTATTTGGCTCCATCCATCTTCCCATCAGTTTTAACCATCTTCCCTGTCCCTGCTGAAGAAAAGCAGGCCCAAACCATGATGCTGCCACCACCATGTTTGACAGTGGGGATGGTGTGTTCAGGGTGATGAGCTGTGTTGCTTTTACGCCAAACATAACGTTTTGCATTGTTGCCAAAAAGTTCGATTTTGGTTTCATCTGACCAGAGCACCTTCTTCCACATGTTTGGTGTGTCTCCCAGGTGGCTTGTGGCAAACTTTAAACGACACTTTTTATGGATATCTTTAAGAAATGGCTTTCTTCTTGCCACTCTTCCATAAAGGCCAGATTTGTGCAGTATACGACTGATTGTTGTCCTATGGACAGAGTCTCCCACCTCCGCTGTAGATCTCTGCAGTTCATCCAGAGTGATCATGGGCCTCTTGGCTGCATCTCTGATCAGTCTTCTCCTTGTATGAGCTGAAAGTTTAGAGGGACGGCCAGGTCTTGGTAGATTTGCAGTGGTCTGATACTCCTTCCATTTCAATATTATCGCTTGCACAGTGCTCCTTGGGATGTTTAAAGCTTGGGAAATCTTTTTGTATCCAAATCTGGCTTTAAACTTCTCCACAACAGTATCTTGGACCTGCCTGGTGTGTTCCTTGTTCTTCATGATGCTCTCTGCGCTTTAAACGGAGCTCTGAGACTATCACAGTGCAGGTGCATTTATATGGAGACTTGATTACACACAGGTGGATTTTATTTATCATCATTAGTCATTTAGGTCAACATTGGATCATTCAGAGATCCTCACTGAACTTCTGGAGTGAGTTTGCTGCACTGAAAGTAAAGGGGCTGAATAATTTTGCACGCCCAATTTTTCAGTTTTTTTATTTGTTAAAAAAGTTTGAAATATCCAATAAATTTCGTTCTACTTCATGATTGTGTCCCACTTGTTGTTGATTCTTCACAAAAAATTACAGTTTTATATCTTTATGTTTGAAGCCTGAAATGTGGCAAAAGGTCGCAAAGTTCAAGGGGGCCGAATACTTTCGCAAGGCACTGTATAAGGGCACCAGTAGCCAAAGTGTTGCCACAGATTACTGTAGGTGTGCATCTTCATAACCCTTGGTAACAGAGAATGAGCCTGTGGTACATGCACCTGCCCTCTGGTGCTTTCGACCTGGATATCTCTGACATGGTATTGAAAAACTCAAATGTTAGAAAAGAATCAACAAACAAACGAGATCCTCAGGATGTGGTGTTCAAGCTGTTCTAAATAAACATGAAGAACCTGGAGAAGTCGAGGACAAAACCAGGAGTGGACCAAGAAAACTGCCAGAGTGTGATGAGAATTTTCTCTGAGAGGAATCCCAGCAGGGACCTGGCTCAGCATCAGGCAGCTTCATCCGGACGCCAAGTTGGTCCTTCTACAGCTCAAAGAAGCTCAATTAGGAGTGGCCTTTGTGGAAGGACAGCAGCTAAGAAACCACCTTTCCAGAAGGGGGACAGGGAGAAAAGACTGAGAGATGCAAAGACTGGAGTGAAGATCAGTGGAAACAAGGAATATGGAGCGTTATGATGGAAGTCCAGTCATGGAATCCAGTGACAGAAAGTTGAGGTACCAAGTCAAAATATTGAGAAAGTGGCAGAAATTGGCTTCCATACTGTCCTTTATAATGACACCAGGTTAAAACTAATTCTAGCTCCTACTACTTTCAGGTGGAAAATAATTACAAGCAGTCACACAAGTTCCTGCCACGTTCTTACTCACCGAACCATTTCAGACATGAATCTAAAATAGCCATTTTCAACTTTACACCTAAATTTAACCAACTCAAGATCTAAACCATAGCTGTATAATTCAGGTCAGCCACAGCACTTCTTTGCAAGACCTGCACTGTTATGGTTGTAGGACCAAACCACAGAAAATGTTACATTACTTAACCTGAAATCAGTGAAATGTAAAGAAAGATCAGTCATTGGCTGCATTGTTAAACCTTCCCTGCCATGTTAATGAGGCCCTCTCAGCAGACTGCTAACTGTTAGCATGTGAGGCTGTCAGAGTGATGCGTATTCCAGCTGCTGACTCACACTCGTTTCCAGCCTCACCAGTTGGGAGCGATATCTCCACGGGCGTTAATCTGTGTGGGAGAAGGTGGCAGGCGCTGATCAGCTTAGCCTCAGCACACTGCGCTGATGTCTAATGAGATGATTTCTCATTAGTGCTGATTCCACATGCTCTGCTACCTCGGCCTGCTGTGAGGCACAGCCACCCTCTGCTTCCTGAACAGGACCAGCGTGTCTCCTCATCTGGAAAAATAACGGCTACTGCTGAGCCTGAATGTCATGTTTTAAATAGACATTAATTGTCTGACAGGTTAATAGTTAGGGTCCTGTTCAGCTTCTAAAGCTGTTCTGTTATATTACTTTGACTTTTGATGTTGGTGTGTTTATGTGAGTGTGTGTGTGTCTATTTTCCTAACATGATAAGTGGCCAGTACAGACATGAGAGAGAAGCTGCTGTAGTCACTGGGAGAGCAAGGGCTGAGAGCATTTTGGTGTTTGAAGTGGCTGACCATGTTTCTCTGTCGCTGTGAAGAGATGTGTATCACAGCAAGGCGAATAGTGTCCCCTGCTTCCAGTCCTTGGGTTAAGCTGGGCAGATATGTTAACAGCAAATTAAGATGACTCGATTTCTTTTATAAAGTTTGACAAGTGATGGTGATTAACCCTGTATCAGCCACTGAGCTGCCTGCAGCATGGCTGCTGTGAGCAGTAGGCTTCTGCATCGTGTTCTTAGTGATGCTGGGATCTCTTGGGAGCTGATGTCTGTGTATTCTGACATAATAAAGCAGAAGGTCCATGTGAATAAACTTGTTCATTTTTGCCCTTTATGCAAAGAAATAAATAAAAGGGAAACCAGGAGTGTTGCAGTAGCATACTATAGTGTATCTGTGAATGCAGTCACAACATGCTGGCAGGCACAAGTCTGACAGTCATGTGAAGAAATCCTGCACAGAGAGAGTAATGTCTTCCTTTGCTTTCTAAGATCACTGCAGTGTACTAATATTTATTATTTCAATCTTTATTTTTTATGCAGAAATAAGTTGGTTTAATAAACTATGAAACTCTATCACAGAGCCAGTCTTCAGTTGTTGAGGAGACTGATCTTTATCGATCCATTGCAGCCAGAGCAGAAAAGGTTAAAAAGAAAAAGAATCTTTGTATGACTACAATAATCTGCCCATTATTCTGCCCCTGTGTTATCATTTATATCAAAGGTGTGGATGGATAAACAGTTGAAATGCAAAGATAAGATTAAAACGAGTCGCATCTCATCACCCTGTTGTTCAGTGTTTGTGCAGAATTCTCTCTCTAATGATTTTAAATGATGTAACTGTTGTGAAAATGTATCAATTGATTCAAAGTTAGAAGTGGAGGAGAGCATCTCTTGGACTTGTGATGGACATCCAAACATTAAAATGACAAAATAAGCTTTATATACCAACAGAGATGCAGCCTGTGAGGGACCAGGAAACAGCCTGTTAAATGCTTAATTCGCCTCTTGTCTCTCTCACACCAGGTGCTAAATATCACGCAGGCTCACAGCACTTTGTGTATATGTGTTGTCATGTCTGAATGAAAGTGTGAGGGACATTAATGTAAACTTTAAAACGGCTTCTTAAGCACCAGTATGCTGAAATCTGTTTATCTGCAGTAGAAGACAGACATTATGATGACAGGAATATGTGGTACCAAGAGCTGCCTGACTGTGTGTGTGTGTCCTACACTCACAACAGCAGAGTGAGGTGGCATCACTGAGCCGTGGAAAACACAGTCCCTGCCTGGCAAGGTTGGGAGTGTGTGTCCAGAAAGGACAAGAAACCCACACACTCTCTCTGTCTAAGGTCAGCTGAATCTGCTGCCAAGAAACTAACATGAGTCTGGATGTGCAGGTCAGGACAACACCGAGATCCAAACATATTTTCTAGCAGATTCACACACAGAAAAACATCGGCAGAGCAGAAGGTTGGCCCATTTTAGGCTGTAGAAAGTCCTGCAGCTCGCTCCTTGGCTGCTTTGCACCCTTAGAAGGAATGAGCTGCAGCTGTGGCCGTTGAAATGCTGCATTCTTTGAAATGTAGTTGTGTATCTTAGGGTGTCACTTTTCTGGTCAATGTTTTGGTTTATGGTTCCACGGCTTTTTAAAGCCGTTGGAGCTCTTATGAAGATGAACAACGTCTCTGTCGACAGACGGCGGTGTGGTAACATGATGTCATCGTGGACCTAAACAGAGTATTCTCTGGCTCTGTTCTTGGATAGATTATAATGAGACATGAGAGCTGCTGTTGCAGAGGTGGAGATAAATCTTATCTAGACACTTAAAAAGGATATACAGAAGTCTGAGGAGTGGCTGAAGTTATTCTAAGCCAGTTTTATTCTTATTCTCTATGGTCAATAATTACAGTCCATAACCTTGTAAAACAGATGAACCTGTTACAATCAAAAATTCCAGTTTCACTTGTACAGGTTCATACAGGTGAAAGCGCTGTACAGACGACTGATGCGCTGATGATACATCAGATGACATGGGAACAGAGGAAACGATTGAAAAACTAAACTTACTGGTGAATGATTCCTTTTCTGCTTAGATCTTTTAGTTCTTGATGCTGAGACCTTTGCGTCATCTTCTCTTTTCATAGATTTTATATATTTTTGTCTGTAACTGGTGATGTGCTGGTGAAAGAAGCTTGTGGGAGTGAAAACAAACTCCGGCCGTATCCTCTCCTCTTCCCCCTTCCCTGTCTCTGAAAATACGTCAAATGTGGTCGTGTCAACCGGCAACAACTGTAGCAATCAGGTGCCGTAGTGTGGCAGTAATAACCGGCTCCAGAACTGATGTATATGGAATATAGAGCCTGTGAATTTTTTGTGGCACTGCAGCAACACAATGTCAAATAAAGAGGTTTACATTTTAGCGATATGCATACGTATGTCTAACGTTGTTTGTAGCGGATGTATATGCAGTAACAAACAAATTATACAGAGGAATGTATTTTTTGTTTTTCCCCAATAACACTGATTCAGTACTAAGAAGAAAATTTGCAGCATGCACACTGGAGATGATTTCCTCACTGGTATTTTATTTCACTAAACAAAAGAAACTCATTACTTGTGAGCGTTCGAGAGCCCAGGACCAAGAAATGTATCAATGTTCTGTTGTCCAGGTAAACTGCCCGCAAAGCGGACCCAAAGTTCGGCCCCCAAAACATTTGTCAAAGGGTTGGGACCTGGGTGCTAAGGTGAATATGGGGTTGAATATGAGATAATTACTTATGTTGTGCTAATATTCTGTTTGATATTATTTTCAGTTGATTGCTTTTGTTATTTACAAGAGACTCTTATCACACGCAGAAACAGGAAAGCATAAGATGTGTTAATAGCATTCACTGTGGCTGGCCCGTGCTACTGTCCCCAGGTGTGTGTGAGATGCTACTATATGATGCTGCTATATGATGTTGCTTGTCATTTCCTGTCTGTTTGTTTTCTCTCTACTCCCTAAATCAATCAGACCTCATCTCTGTGGGTGTGTTGGGGAAAAAAAACTGTGAAGCTTTGAATCAGGAAGTGCAGACACACATATGCTGTTAAACAGACAGACATAGTGAGTCAGTGGAAAGAAACATGCTTTTATTTTTGGAGTAATTAACACCATGATCGCTAATCTGCTCCTCGTCTGTTTCTCCATCAGACCATCAAGGCCACGTCCCCGCTCGGTGACCCCCGAGTGACCTACAACTTGGAGGAAGGTCAGGTGCCAGAGACCAACATGCCGGTGCGGTTCTACATCAAACCAAACCGTGCAGACGGCTCAGCGTCCATCCTGGTAGCCGAGAACCTCAACTACGAGACAACACAGTTCTTCACGCTCAGAGTGCGAGCACAGAATGTTGCCGCCGTGCCGCTCGCCTCCTTCACCACCGTTTATGTCAACCTGACAGGTGAGTCAGGGGAAGCAGTGCGTGTGGATACACTAGTCTCCAGACTGTCAGCTTCTCATGTTAAACTCAGTGCAAATTTATTTCCATCTAAAAGAACACCCCCCAAAAAATGGTTGTCAGGCCCAAACACTAGCTCTACATGTAAATGTTTTTGTTTGTGTCATCTCCTACAGCAACAGCACAGTGAACTAAGACGCACACTAGGAAACTAAGCAGCATGGTATTAGTGTTTTAATAGCACATGGGATTTGGATTTGAACTCTAATTAGAATTAGGAACACATTTACTCTCATGATAAAAGTCACCATCTAGCTCTGGGGGGAAGAAGCAATCAGAGAACAACAGAACCTACTGGCAAATGTTGAGAAAAATGAAGTGCAGTTCACATTCCTGATCATCGCTGGCTGTGAAAATGAAGAAAATAGCAGCGGCTGATGGCGTGACTGCATGCTGCCTCATTTTAACAATCAGCATCAGTAGGCGGGAGGAGAAAAGGAAAGAGGAGACGACACTTCCTGACTGTGACTGGATGAACCCACATTGGATGCAGTAATTGGCTTGGTGGAGCTTGACAGTCAGCTGACAAGATGCTTTGTGGTCTCTTCAGGGCATTTGCAGAGTAGTTTCCCACCAATAACTCAGTTCTCATTAGTGATGAGAGACCACCCAGCTTCAGTTCTGAGAGCCTCTGAAGCCACAGGTGATCGGTTTCTCTGCTTGTTAATCTCCTACCCTGGTGTAAATGTTGTAAAAGCACAAACCCTTCTGTCTGTCTGAGCTTTCCTTTGCCTTCGATCTGGCTTTTCTTTCTTTGCTGCTTTGTTTGTTTGTCTGTTTCCCATAGTCTGTTTTAATCCGGTTTGATCAGCTTTGATGGACTTGACAGACTGGATGTTTTCTCCTGCCGGTTTCTGTAACAAAAAAGATCAATTTAAAAAAAAAGTTGATTTTCACTGCTGATTTCTTTTCTTTCTGTCAGACGTGAATGACAACGTTCCTTTCTTCCTGTCATCCACCTATGAGGCCACGGTTCCTGAAGGAGCAGAGGTCGGCACATCGGTGGCTCAGGTGTCGGGCACAGATCTGGACTCTGGTCTGCACGGGCAGGTGAGGAACACCCTCACCGATTACTCGGTAACTTCTCCGCTCTTCTGCTGCTTCAGCCTCTTTGTCTTTCAGATCCACTATGGGATCTTGAAGGATGAAAGCGGTGACTCCCAGTTCTTTGGCATTGACTCGCACAGCGGCATAATTGTCACTCGAGCTTCTTTCGACCGTGAGCAGAAAGCCTCGTACCTGATTGAGGTGCAGTCACAGGATGGCTCCGAGTCAGCCCGACCTGGCCAGCACGGACAACCCAACACTGGTACGCAACACCCTCATACAAACACGCAAAGTGACAAAAAAACTCATGCAAAACATTTATTACACATGATCTGATTCATTGTGTGTTGATACAGACAGTTCATAATTAGAGTAAAAGGTTCTTTGGCTACATATGATTAGCACATGGAAATGTCAGGAGGAACACTGTGGGCTTCATTCAAACAGACACAGCCTACGTCAGGATATTTGTCACCGATGTCAATGACAACGCTCCGGCGTTCGCCCAACCAGTGTACGAGGTGAGCGTGGAGGAAGACAAGGAGGTTGGCTTCATCCTCATCACCGTCACCGCCAATGACGAGGACGAGGGTGAGTCAGACTCCTGTGTCTCAGTGACACAGGTGCTGGTTTCTCTGATCCATGTCTCAGTTCACATGTGAAACTGGCTTTTTGTCACTCTCCTCTTCTTTCTGCTCTGTTTAGTACTTTCTTGTCCTCTAGTTTCATCTCTTCCTCTTTTTCTCCTCTTCTTTCTGCTCTGTTTAGTAATTTCTTGTCCTCTAGTTTCATCTCTTCTCTTCCTCTTTCTTTTCAACTCTTTTCATTTCTTGTCCTCTCTGTTTGTCTCCTCATCCTCTTTCATTCTATTGTCTTTTACTTATTTTTACTTCTCTCCTCTTTGCATTTTCTTTTTTATTTGCTCCTTTACAGTGATGGTTTCTGAGTTTGGGAGAACTGTCTTTGGTTTGTAATATCCAGTCAGAAGGATGTGCCTGTTGGCTGGTCTGGTTAAGTTGGATGTTTGGCCTGCCGGGCTCACAGATCCAGTGTGGGCCCAGCAGACAGAGGCAGTTGATAGACAGTGTAGAGCTACTCAGCTTTCCTGTAAATGTCTGTGGAGGAGATGAACAGTAACCATCTCAGTTCTAGTTTCCTTTTTGCATTTTTGACTTTCTTTTATAGTAATGCAACCACTGAGGAGCTGAGAAGTGTTTTTTTTAAATTGGTTTTCTCCTGTATACATTTTCCTCCCAGTGTCTTATGTCCTTTATTTGTTCCTCTCATAAGAGGTGGATGTGCTGGTTGTCTTTTGTTTAATAAAGGAGTTCATAAGCCAATGGCTTCCCTCCTCTCCTTGTTTCCTCCTTTTGTTTGTTCTCCTGTCCTCCATTCTCCCCTTCTCTCATTCTCACCTTTCTTACCATCTTGTCCTTTTCTCTCCTCTCCTTGTTCCTTCTCCTCCTACCCTCCTTTTCTTTCCTTTCTTTTCTTCTTGTTTCTTTGCCTCTCCTCTTCTCCTTCTCTTTCTGTTACAGATTGTTAGTGAGTGCTGCTGCTACCTTGATGTTGACAGTTTGATGTTTATCCCTCCTCCTCGGCTCTAAACCAATAAGCAGCAGGAAATAAAATCAGAAGACAACAACACAAACCTCTCTCTCTTTTAATGATGACTGCTGGCGTCAAGTCAAAGCCTCAGGAATTTCTTTAGAAAGGAGTGTGATGCCTGATTATTTTTTCTTTTTTTGAATCTTCAACCTTTTTTTACCTGCACTGAGGGATCCACATTCACAGTCTGCTTCATATTCCTATTCCCGATCTGTTCTGATTCCCTCAGGAGATCCCTGAACTTCCCATGGTCTGGTTTCTTGAAACTTTCTGTGGTAGTTTGATCAAATTTCCAATTACTGGATTTGTTAAAAATAGACCAAACTTCCTGAAGGCTTTACTAACAAGGTGCAAACAAAAAATCTGAATCAAGTTGGCGCTTGTCTTCACTCTGTGTTGGCTGGAGGAAGGAGAAGTAAATATGTGATTGTGTGATTCAGCAAGAAAAGTCCATATTAATATCATATGATTTAGGAAGCTAGCATGGGGTTATTGTAGGTGATCCGATTTATGCTACTGACAACACAAACAGTGTGGGGCTGCAGCAGTAGTCAGGTCATGTTTCAGCACATCATGGGAGGATTGCTGCATTCACATAATGGAGGTGACAGGACAAACAGCGCTTATTATAAGTCGTTCACACATTAGTCTGCAGTGTTAGCTTCAGCGCTAACCTTGTAGTCACACCAGCCTAAATGAGTTGCTTGTGTTGTGCTACTCATTTGTAGCAGTTGAAACCAGATAGAAAGTCTATAGTTCCTTTTAAATTAGTTCAATCAGCTGTGTCAGTGCTAATATCTAATTGTATTTCTTTATTGACAGTGCTGGTGGATTTACCCTTGGCATCCTGTAGCACCAAAACAGTTCTGGGTGGGAGGAGGATCTATGAAATGAACTGCCCCGTTATCCGAACAGTGTGTTTCAGCAGAGGTTTTTACAAATGCGGAAAAAGCAAAACAGGCAGGGACACCGGAGACCCATGTGAATGTCAGAAAATGCTCTAAAAGTAAATATGCATAATATGTGTCCTTTAAACACATGCAGACAAATAATAAACCTTTTGATACTGTAGGCCTTGCAGTAGTATAGTGTAAGGGCTCTGTACAGTACATTTACAGCCTGTCTGCCAACAGTTTGTTCAAGTCTGTGCTTCTTTCACCAAGTAAGACATCTCATCACTATCAAACTCCTCATCTCAAATCTGAATGACAAGTTGAAGATTCTTCCCACTCTGCTGCTCGACTTTAAATAATATGAAAAACAAAACAAATCAAGAAGTAACCCTGATCTATTACAGCTTCAGTTTTATTGATCCTTTATCAGTATTAACAGAACTGTGCTTGCTGAGTCAGAAACTGAGATTTGAGAGTAGGATGTTAGATGTTCATTGACAGCCTGATTAAATGGCTACTTGTCACCAAACTGTAGGTCATAATGTCCCTGAGTCTGAACATGTTCCATTACAAGACTCCATCACTTTAAGAGTCTGCTAATATTCATATTTCCTTGCTGTTGCTAGATGGGCCTCCCAGTCACTGTAGCTGTGCATTTGTCATTGTTGTAAGTGTCTAGATTTAGTGTTTATGCCCCAGACTGATCACTGCAAGGTTCGGGAAGACACTAAACACAGGATTAGGAAGTGCTAACACAGCAACTGCTGATGATCCCCTCCCAGATGTTGATGTTTTATCCCCTCACCAGCGTGTCCTGGGTCTGCCGCGGGGTCTCCTACCAGTATGTAAAATAAGGGAATATTCCTCTCACTGACTGAGTCAAGGTGTGACCAGAACCTCCACACATAAGAAAAGCAAACACGTGTCTCTCAATTTGTGATGTTGCACTGGTTCAAACAGTAGTATTACTCAAACAGGTCCTGTTTCCTACTGGGCCTGCTCTCACCAGAGTTCGCCAGAGATCTGCTCTGATCATCACAGTGTCACACATTCACTCAGTGGCTCTTTGTAAAAAAGACACCAGTCAGTATAAAATACACAGAGAAATGTTAATGGCTGTGCAGTCTGGTTTACCGGTAGGACAACTTGATATGTGGACAGGCATCCCTGTACCATCTGAAGGCATACTGATGCTGGTGCTTTGTATATATAACCACTGTATACACCAGATGAAGTGTGCGTGTGCTTGTGCATTTGTGTGTATGTGTGTTTGTCTGAAGGTGAAAGAAGCTTCTGAACAGTCTGAGTGATGAGCTGTAAACTGAGCTGAAGGTTTTATCCACTGACTGCTGCTTTGTCACCTTGGCTGCAGGTGTGTGTGGGTTTGTCTTTATATACTTGTGCGGACCAACCCCTGACGGAACGCCTTTCTTGTGTGGACGTTTCTTCTTGTGTGGACCTTTTGGGTGGTCCACACAAGGAAAATTCTAGGATAGGCTCCTTTCTGTTTGGTGAAAAAGACTGTTCAAGTTGCTATTTCATCAAGTCGCTGCCCTTCACTTTTTGCGGCGACCGTGGTGCGGTGGGTAGAGCAGTCGCCTCCCAACCACAAGGTTGGAGATTTGAATCTCAGGGCCAGCAATCCACGTGTCGAAGTGTCCTTGGGCTGCCATTCCTTGTGTGTGTAACATACTTGGCCATACATTCATTCTATTCATCCTAAAGAATGATCTGTCTAAGTTTCAGAAGATGTCCACATACAGAGAGTAAAGTCAGAAAAATGTGTCAGCTTGTGCTCTAAAAGTATCATGCCCTGATTAAATACTGCTTAAGCTGAATTCTGCCTGTGTCTTTAAAAGGGCGCAGACAGGGCAGCTTAGAAGTGGGTGGGAATCAAGCAATATTTATAACACCTGGAGCTTGAGGCTCACCTTCAACTAATGTTGCGTTAAATCAGACCTGGGCATTTTACGGCCCGCAGGCCACATCCAGCCCTTTGGGCATCCCTGTCCGCGTGAGGTCCATCAAATCAGAACATGAATGAAAAAAGTTCACGGGTGAACTTAAGATCCCCGACCTACCAGGTGAGAGACAGGTAATGTTGGCCAGCTAACCCTCAAAATGTCAACTCACACCAAAAAAAGAAAAGTTGATGCCGAATGCTGCGTTTTCAACAAGACATCGACTGGAAAGTATTTGTTTACAGAAGTGAAAGGTAAAGCGGTGCGCTTAGTTTGTGGTACAGAGGTTGCTGTGTTCAAGGATTACAATTTGAATCGCCACTACGTGACCAAACATGAGGAGAAATACCTGTGTACCCCGTTATCACCAGGGAGTAACCCATGAATGGAGCTAGATAGTGGGGGGAAAGGAACCGGCTAGCTCCCCTGGTGAACCAGAGCTCTAAGCACCCGGCGCACCGGTTGAACCTGTGTAGCCACGCTTAAGCCCCCTCCCTGGGCTAAACAATTTAAACCGG